TGACTGATTAGTGTTTTTAGTTGATCTAATAAAACGTAATACTTCCCAATTAGTATTTATTTCCTAATGTGAATCTTATCCTTTAGATGATGTTAGATAATTATGGGAATCAGGGCACTGTACAAAATAGCGCCATGATCTGCTGTTGATGCATAAAAATCCCATGTTGATGAACATCCACCTTGCTGAGCTAGATGCTGAATCCCAGTTTGATGTGTCATGATGAACATTCCTTCAGCTTGCTTAACTGACCTACTTGACCTAATTGCTCCCCATTATGTGAAAGGACTGCTAGTACTGCTGAATTCTGAGTCTGCAACTCAATGCAGCTTTTGCACACTTTATGGAAAGTTCTTCAGTTTTCTTCGCTGACCGAGGTCTACAATGAATGGTGATAATCTTTGATAAATACAGGTCTCTGTGTTTCTTAAGGTTTGAGGTCTTTTTCACCATGACAGTGTCCTCTCCCTTGGTTAAATGAAAAGTGTTATATTGAAATTAGGTGATTTGAAATGTCCAATACAGTTGTTAGTCTGTGAAAGGTGAGTTTATGACCTTATAATCAGCCTCTTTTTCTCAGCTGCCTCACAGGCAAACTGAGGGCCTATCTTTGAAGCACCAAGGCATTTAGCACAATGAAGCTAGTTTAAAGATGAATAAAATGAAGAAGACGCCAGACGAGAACTACAATGACCTCTAAGTATGTAAAACACTCACTCATCAAAATTCAGTATTGGGTGAAGAGAGGTGAAATGGCTTCCACTCCAATAGTAGTCAAGTTGAGTTGTTGACAAAGACTCAACAACAACAGGGGACAAATTAAATGAAAAAACCTGAATAAAAGAGTGGAGAAACGATTCAAATGTAGATGCTTCGTGCACCAGAGCTCACCGAATGGTAAGTGAATTTGAAAATGACGTGAATAAAATACTACAGCATTTACAGTCACCAGATCTCAAACCACTTTCACACCTATAGAAGATTTTGGACCACCACAAAAGAAAACGCTCTCCATCACAACCTCCATAACACCATATGATATTGTATAAACTTTTATCAACCAAATCTACTTAGCGATAGGGATGAAACGATTACTTGTTTAATGGTAAACCATTGTAAAATCCCTGTCGGTTATTATTACCGTACACATTTTTATTACCATGATAACCAGGTACGGTTAACCGCGCTATTATAATCTCACGGCAAATACTGTCCAGCGTCTCCCAGAAGCAGGCGAGCATTCGCAGAATGCGACTTGTCAGAAGACAACGCTGCAGAGATTTTTCAGTCACTCTGAAGTCCGGTTGTATTTTAGTTCTTATGAGAGTGCTGAGGGAAACTTGATTGAAGAAAATGACCTTATAGTGTACGCAGGGTGAGTAACTTTTAGCTTTGGTTTGTCTCTCTTGCTAACAGCATGTAAACTGAAGCTCTCAGTGTTTGCTGCTCTTGTAAAAACGCTACATGTTGTTCTGTTGTTGTGTGCGTCGTGTGTTGGCAGAGTCTATTCGTCCACTGCACATGATAACACGTTATATACACTGCTCAAAAAAATAAAGGGAACACTTAAACAACACAATGTAACTCCAAGTCAATCACACTCCTGTGAAATCAAACTGTCCACTTAGGAAGCAACACTGATTGACAATCAATTTCACATGCTGTTGTGCAAATGGAATAGACAACAGGTGGAAATTATAGGCAATTAGCAAGACACTTCCTGCTGGCAGTGCTTTCATTCTAGTGGTAGCATGAAACGGAGTCTACAACACTCACAAGTGGCTCAGGTAGTGCAGCTCATCCAGGATGGCACATCAATGCGAGCTGTGGCAAGAAGGTTTGCTGTGTCTGTCAGCGTAGTGTCCAGAGCATGGAGGCGCTACCAGGAGACAGGCCAGTACATCAGGAGACGTGGAGGAGGCCGTAGGAGGGCAACAACCCAGCAGCAGGACCGCTACCTCCGCCTTTGTGCAAGGAGGAGCAGGAGGAGCACTGCCACAGCCCTGCAAAATGACCTCCAGCAAGTGCATGTGTCTGCTCAAACGGTCAGAAACAGACTCCATGAGGGTGGTATGAGGGTCCAACATCCACAGGTGGGGGTTGTGCTTACAGCCCAACACCGTGCAGGACATTTGGCATTTGCCAGAGAACACCAAAATTGGCAAATTCGCCACTGGCGCCCTGTGCTCTTCACAGATGAAAGCAGGTTCACACTGAGCACATGTGACAGACGTGACAGAGTCTGGAGACGCCGTGGAGAACGTTCTGCTGCCTGCAACATCCTCCAGCATGACCGGTTTGGCGGTGGGTCAGTAATGGTGCGGGGTGGCATTTCTTTGGGGGGCCGCACAGCCCTCCATGTGCTCGCCAGAGGTAGCCTGACTGCCATTAGGTACCGAGATGAGATCCTCAGACCCTTTGTGAGACCATATACTGGTGCGGTTGGCCCTGGGTTCCTCCTAATGCAAGACAATGCTAGACCTCATGTGGCTGGAGTGTGTCAGCAGTTCCTGCAAGAGGAAGGCATTGATGCTATGGACTGGCCCGCCCGTTCCCCAGACCTGAATCCAGTTGAGCACATCTGGGACAATCATGTCTCGCTCCATCCACCAACGCCACGTTGCACCGCAGACTGTCCAGGAGTTGGCGGATGCTTTAGTCCAGGTCTGGCAGATAGATCCCTCAGGAGACCATCCGCCACCTCATCAGGAGCATGCCCAGGCGTTGTAGGGAGGTCATACAGGCACGTGGAGGCCACACACACTACTGAGCCTCATTTTGACTTGTAGTGTGGTTTTCCACTTGGATTTTGAGTGTGACTCCAAATCCAGACCTCCATGGGTTGATAAATTTGATTTCCATTGATAATTTTTGTGTGATTTTGTTGTCAGCACATTTAACTATGTAAAGAAAGGAGTATTTAATGAGATTATTGTATTCATTCAGATCTAGGATGTGTTATTTTAGTGTTCCCTTTATTTTTTTGAGCAGTGTAGTTTAGTCAACCAACCAGCATATCTCGAAATGCTACAGGCTCCTCTGTATATCAGCTTTTGGCCTCATTGCAGTTACTATCACTGTGTTCTAAAGACTTATTTGTTTTCATGTAATTGTCCACGGGGTCATTTGCTGTTATTTTATTTTTTATGCAAACAAAACGGCAATTGTATTTGTAGTTTTCAATATAAAACTTGTTGAAATGGTTTCAGTATGTGTATCAGTACATTTTAATATTTTTTGGCACATTTTTACAATACCGTGATAATTTTGGTCACTATAATCGTGATATGAAATTTTCATACCGTTTCATCCCGACTTAGCGACGTCTGTAACAGTCTCTGATGTTATATGTCCTTTTGTTATATCTGGCTATATTTGTTTTTCTTTCCATCTGCTGTCCTTACGTCTCTCTTGCAAAGAGATTTTGATCTAAATAAATACCTCATTAAATATAGGTTGTAAATGTGGGAATATCTTGTGAAGGAATAGTGTTCATCCTTCCACTAAAAGGTCCACAGACTTGCGAGAAGCCCTGAAGATGTTGTGGAGCCTCGTGGGGCATGACTCTATACTGATTTTTCCTTTCATTTGTTACCGATCTTTAGTACCCAGCACATTATTATTATTATTATTATTACTACACACACACACACACACACACACACACACACACACACACGTAACCTGAATATATGAGCAATCCCCAGTCAAGAGATTGAGTAAATACCTTATGCAAGCTGTAATTTATATATTTGGTAATCTATCCATTGTTGTTAAATAACAATATTAAGAGGCACGTAAGGATAAAGAATGGAAAAGCAGAAGTAAAAGAGAGGAGTAAAATAGGTTAACAGAAACTCCACCAAAGAGGGGGAGATTTAACATTAAATATCCAATTTCTTTGTGAGAAGTTAAGCTGGAGCTTGCAAAAAAAAAAAGATCTGAAAACTGAAGAGGAAGTAGTTGGAGTTAGAGCAACTCAACTCTTCAAGGAAAAGCAGCTCTACCCACATTGACTGGGGTTACTTTCTTTTCGTGATTTGCCAGAAGGGGTTTGCTCCCACACATTCACGTATGATGTGGAGATTAGTAGACAAGATGAGACTCCTTCAGTTTGACATTTGCTCTCGTGACTTTGTCTGCTCCAAGAAATGCTTTAAATACAAAAGGGCTGATGAGATGAAGGTTGATTATGAATTCTCTTCCACTGCTAAATGTGTCAAGCCAGCCAAATGTCAGAGGATATTCTGTCAGAGGATATTGAGCTGACTGAAAATGTCAGACAGGGAGAAACCGTGAAAGAGAGAATGAAGAGGAAACAAAAGGAGGAAACTTGTGCACATGTGTTGGTGTGACTCCGTCATCATTATGTTGCCTAATGAGGGAGGATATGGTTTAAACTACTGTTTCGCAGTAAAGTAGTCTTGACTTGCTTCCTTTGGCACCATTTCCATGTTAAACACCTTTATCCATTTACCCAGGTGGACCAAAAAGTCAACGCAGCAATACTCTAGAGCTCAAAGTAAGTAAACCTTTGGTAAGATATCCAACACTACTCCAAGTTTATCACCATCATAACTTTGTAATGATCCATGTGTACCAAGAAAATGCAACAGAGATGTTAAGAACAAGTTAGCTGCTACTCAGATTTAAAAACTTAGAGCACACAAAGTTTATACATTTTTAGATAAATGGTTCCGTTTTTATTCTAATAAAAGCAGTAGGAAGAGAAGCATGTTCGTGAATATAATAAAGAATAAGGTTATGACCTTTCTATGTTTCTATGGTTTCAAGTTACCAGTTTAACCACAATTATTGCATTATTGTTCAAGTGAATTTTAATTAACCATTTTCTCAGATGATACAAAAGGAAAATATGGGCACAAAAACTGCTGCCGAAACCTTCCTTCAGGGACAGTGTTATAGTTTTTTAGCCTTGGAAAACCTGTAATGTGTTTTTCCAATGGCAAAACATTTCACTAAACTAACTTTGGACTCACCAAAAGCTGTGTAAAACTCTTCTTTTGTCAGGTGTTCATCATCATTCACGTCGTTGTACTTCAGCAGGTCAAACAATGTGCACTCTGAGACATCCTTGGACAGACCTTCTTGCTTGATGACCTTCAATGAGAATGCATTGATGTTCAGTTAAAGCAACTTGACGATACTTTTTGGTTCTTCATTTTTCCAACCCTGTCTCCTAGAAATTACAATTATGTACAACTAATCTGCAAAAGCAAATATATTTACGTATATTACTTTTTTAAATCAACATGAAGAGGATATGTTGTTAAATAACAAGCTTAAAAAATGTTGATACTAATTAGTGATATGCTCACTGACAATGCATTTCATTTTTTTTCAACCTAAATTCAATCTTACAATATAATACAGTTTATTAACAACTACAGCACTGGTAAGTCTTTTCATGGTTGTGTTTAGGCACTGACAGCCAATAGTGGACGAAGTACACAAATCGTGTACTTGTCACCCTAGCTAAATATTAATCCACTAAAAGTAGAAGTCTTCAATTTAAATTTAATTTCTACTTCAAACACAAAGTACAAAAGTACCTGCATTTAAAATACTTGTCGGGGGTTGCTGACATTGACAAACAGAATTTAAAAATACAGTAGGCAAACTTTCCTACTTATTGAACAATTGTATTCATTATAAACATGTTGCCATTTCCATAATAATTCAAATTACTCAGTTATATGTGTGTATTCAGAAAATGTGACAAAAGTAAAAGTATGTAAGCATAATCAGGAAAATATAATTAAAGTATTAGTAAGTACTAATTGCAGAAAGAAATTTCATTCCTTATACATTAATGTAAAAGCAGTTTTTTACAGTTGTAATTGTGGAGGGGGAGCTTAATCTATAAAGTAACTTGTAACTAAAGCTGTCAGATAAATGTAGCAAAGTATAAAGTACAATATCTCCCTCTGAGATGTAGTGGAGTAGAAGTAGAAAGCGACATGAAAAGAATATTCAAGGAAAGTACAAGTACCTCAAATTTTTACTCAAGTACAGTACTTGAGTAAATATACTTAATCACTGTCCACCACTGCTGACAGCACTTGGTTAACATTAGGGAAAGATCATGGTCTGTTCTTATACAGAAAAAATCCACAGGGATTGAAGCACAACAAACAACATGTTTCTTAACAAGAAACCAAAACCATGATCTTTTCATAATCTTAACCAGTGCTACTGTTGCCTAAACATAAACATGACCTCCACTGATATAGACAGGAGCGTGTGTCTTTGCCTCGTTTTTCCTAAAATTCAAGATCAGCTCCTTGGTTTTGATGATGTTGAGCAGTAGGTTGTTCTCATTTATGTAGAGCCCAATAAAACAGAATTAGTTTAAATATGGGGATTTTCATGTTTATTTCTTCTGTTTTGATGTTTGAAACCTCAATACAACAGTGTTGTTGACGTAAATGTAGTAATAATGTTGCTAAATGTTTGTGGTGAAATTTACAATAATAAAAGAAATGAACAAATCCTGCAACACCCTTGGCCCATCTTTAAGCATCCCAGGGTGCCAGAAAACACAGACCAAAACTATGAAGTATGATTTTGCCTGTCTGTAACACATACATATTAATATTGTGTTCAGTGTTGTGTCTGAACCTTGATGAAGACAGCTATGTGGAAGTGTTGAAGTGTATCCTAATACATTTTAAAAAGGTAAAACATTAACCTCTGAAACATAGCATTAAAAAGGTACAATGTGTAATTCCTTGCAACATGTCCGGACAAACTGGGAGGCAGTATTGTGCAAGAATTCCTTGATTAACTAATTGCAGCAATGACACTGTTGATTGTTAGACATGCATAATAAACCCTGGAATGTATAGCAAACTTTCCAAACATCCAAATTTGCCTCATCTTTTCTTTGACACTAACCAGGGGCTCTAAGTTACCTTAAACTTAGTCTTGCATAGCCAGACCTCTCTCCACAGTGCTGTTCCTTGTTTATATTCTGTTGATCATGTGAGTTTCATTTTTTGTATATGTTTTCAACCAAAATTCTGACCAAAACTTACACATTTTACCCTTAAATGGAATTACAAAAATAAAGTACTTAAGTACAGCACAGAGTAAATGTACTGTGTTTACTTACTTAATCAACAGTCTATAAAAAGTTTGGATATAACCTCAACATTGCGTGCCCAATGTAAACTTTGTGTTGACTGTCAAAGTTGATGAAACACACACACACAGCTGTCAGTTTACCATAGCCAAACTACGAGTCACTGAAGTTTTGTCACAATAGATGGCGAAAGGGCCCCAAACACTGTGCAGATCCTGCTAAAGCATGATACTATTCAACACCCTCTGCATGGTCCTGGCAGTAAAACATCCATCATACTACATCAGCTGTCAAAATGCTGATCACAAGGGACAGCTTTATACATCATCCCTCATCCATTGGATCAGTGTACTTCCCTTCCCAGAGAACTTACCCAAAATTTAGGAGTCACCTGTAATAGCATATCCTTAGTGTATCCTAAAAATAAATAACTGTGGCGCACACAACAAAACAGCTGCTTTTGTCTTCCGCATGTAAAATTATTTTATCTCCTCCGCAAAATGTCTTTCTTGTGGTCATTTTGTCATTTATAGTTGATCTTCATCTAAACCAAACCTGAGCTAGTGAGAAGTGATTACTTAAAATGCTATCAAGATTCCTCAGGAAGAACGGCATTACTCAACAATATTCTTGTCTCTCTGGTCATTCTTTCTGGCTTGGAGTAATCTAGATGGTCTTTGAGAGATTTGTTAGAGTGCTGCCGTTAGAGTTAAAGCATCAAAGCCTATTACTCCATCTCTTACATATTTCATGACATGACCTTGGCTTCTGCCCACAAACAAACTTTTGATTCATCTGGTTACTTCACATTTTCTGTTGTGAGTGACTATTCAACCACTTTAAAAGGAGGGCCACGGACATGTTCACTGATTTTCAGCAGACAATGTGAGCTAAATGAACCGAGACACATCAGTGACGGGATAACCAGCTGTAATGTTTATTGAGAATGCAGCTTCTGTGCATTTCAAATCAAAGCTTAATCTACACGGTTAGTCAGATAGAACACTTTTCTCCCAATTAGTAGTTACAATACATTTTTATGTTCTAATAACATTTTAGAGTAATTTCAGTAATTATAGCTGACCTATTCAGGTAGCACAGAAATTAGGGTTGGGCTGATAGAAGAGGCCATCGTCCATCGGCGATGGCTGACAGATGGGCGATGGTTGAGCAGGCACTGTGATTGTAAAACCCCGCCCCCCTCCGGCAAAAAAAATCTACATTTTTCACATTAAACCAGCAGGTTCACGCCTCTCTCTGTCCCCCCCCCCCCGCCCGTCTACTCCACTTTGTCCATCAGCAGTACGTTTTATAAAGTCTAACCCTAAAAGACACAGAACTCGTCTTTTTCCACATTTTTCCAACCGACAACACCCCCCCCCCCAACTACTATACTGCAGAACCTGTAGTCCTGTCGACAGACAGATGAAATTATTTTTGTCTTTAAGGAATTAGTATTTTCAAAGATTTGCTCTTTCATTATACATATTTTGGTCTATATGAGGACTTAATTTGCCATGATCTGAGTGTGAGCAGGGGTCGCAAGTTCAAAACGAGGAATCTTTCCAAAAGCTATGGCCTTGAAAATGTATTTTTTAATAGACAAAACAATGAAACAATGTCTCCTTAGCTGCATGTTACAAGTTTTTAAAAATACTTTTAAAAGTATATATTTTTTAAAAGACAATAACGACATAATCTTTGCCATCTTTATCCCTTATGTTTTTGTTGCATTGTGTTTTTTATTTTTGTAACAGTGTTACAACAACAAACATTCTTTTCACAACTTTTTTGCTAAAAGCTAATATTTCAGGCATTCTGTCTTGTGACAAATGATAGATTTGGGCAACGAAAAAATAAGATTGGATTTGCCATTTTAAAAGGGCACCCACAACTAAAAGGGCAGGGACAATTGCTCCCTGTGTCTCCTTTTATATTCAGACTAGCAAGTCAAGTAAGCCAGGGTGAGGGATTTCCCTCCTAGAATTTCCAATGAGATGAGAGAATGCACCAATGATAGGGCGCTTTAGGGCACGAGAGTGGCAGTCATGGTTTTGTACTTTAAACCGCGTATAAGAGTAATTTGTTTGTGCAGTGCTCTTTTTGAGGGCTTTTTACACCAAAATTCAATTTGCATAAATCTCTTGTCTTCTTTCATGTTTATCTTTTGTCAATAATGCAAAACTATGCAGTTCTAGGTCAAGCAACCGAGGTTAACAAAACATGCAGATTGCCCTGACGATGCCATGTAAAGCTGATGATACATGGGGCAACTTTTTGAGCAATGTTGCTGGGCAATCTTGCTGGTGGCAAGTCCGACTATGTTTTGAATGGATAGCAGCGGGGCGCAGTAGGTGGCACAGTGGTGGGGAATGGGATTACGGTAGTAATCTTTACTCATTACCATTGATGGCAACATTGCCCAGCACCATTGCTCTAAAAGTTGCTCCGTGTATCATCAGCATAAGTGAATCTGAACCTTAAAGTATTCTGTATATTTAAAACTTACATCTTTTGAAGAGAAAAGAAAACTCTTTTCCGAGCTATCAATTAATCTGAAATTACATTCTAAGAGAGCAGTTAATATATTAACACAAAAACTCATTAAAGACCCAATTCATAATAAGATTTGGCACCATTTTGTTGAGGCACTGTCAACTCACAACTGCCTTAGTTTTTTAAGTCATTTATCAGACTGATTGCTATTTTGTTCTGATAGTTATCGTGCAATTATTTATTAGGCAGAAATTTTGATGAAAGCATGCAGAAGCTCAAATGTTTTCTCAACATATTTAGGCTGCAGATGTGTGTAAAGTTTCCTGTCACTGCAGCAAAACAGGCCTGTAGTTTGGGTATGACCGAACAACGATATTATCCATAATCTTGAATTTGAAGCTGAAGGACATAAATAACCAACTTATTGAACTAATACAACTAAGTGTATCACAAAGACAGAGAGGGCCATGAATGTATGCATACAAAAAAACAACTGAAAAACCCACAAGGACCACCTGTAATCCACTGATATTTTTATTTCAAACTATTCCAGATATGCAGCCAACATTCACATATGTGTCAAGGATGAAAAGGGGAGGAGGGCTAAAAGCACCCCCCTTGAGGAGCCCCTGAAAGGAGCTTCTCCATCTGGATGTTAATTATTACTGACTAGCTTGTGTCATTCAAACACCTAGGGAGAGGTGGAGTGGTACCGTTTGGGCAGGAATAAAATAAATGGCATCACCAAGAGGTTTCTGCCCACAGTAATATTAGGTTTTCAGGGCATGTTAAAATTCACATTCAGAGGATACTGACAATATTATTCCATAAAACACAGCACAACATGGTTTGTTGACTATGCATTTCAGTCACTAAGAATTGATTTCTCTCATGCCGGCACAGGGTGCCATATAAATGTAAAAAGATGTAAAAATATGTAAATAATATGAAAATATGAAAAAAAAATCACTATTCTTGTGGCATTTTTAGAAGCCTTGAAGTCAAAATACTCAAATATATTCAAATTAATCTAACAAGATGTTCCCCATCGGCCAATAGGGCACTGACAAAGCTAACCAAGGTGACCCCTGTACAGATGGGATATCCTGCTGGAGCCGCAGGAAACTGACCTAAGAACAGCATCTGATTTCATGATTCTGAAACCACCGCAGGTTGCTTACCCTTTCAATCATTTAAATATCTTTTATATTAAATCATTCCTCAGGTATTGGTAGACTTTATTTGTTATGCACAGAATATCTTTGTTCCTCATGGAAGCCACAAAAAGCTCTTTTTACAACCATCCCTCTTGGCAGCGCTGGTCAAAGGCTGCAGCCTCCCATGAGCACAAGGAGCCTTTGACCCACATTGCTTTTCAAAAGATTTACCTAGAGCTACCCACCACAGCTACCAGAGGGAAGGGTAAAAGGAGTAAAATGGACACAATTATGGCAGACATCAAGGCGCCTGAGCACACAGATGGTTTGTTAATCTGTAGTCTCCTTTTCGATGGTTATTTATGGGGTGTCTTGAAAATGAAAGTGCAGTTACAAAATGCTAAACAGCTTCTTTTTAGTGGGGAAAAACTGACAATTAAATGTCTCCTGTACTGAAATACATTTTCAAAAATCTCATAAGCTCAGTGTTTGCTTTAGTCAAGGTTAAGTTATTGCATTTTATTTTTATGAAAGTAATTAACTGAGTGAAGTATGTGTTGTTGTTTATTTAAAGTAGATCTCATATTGTGTATTAAAGCTCATCTTTTGTTCAATATCCTTACCTGTGAGAGTTCGCTGGCATCTATTTGACCATTGTTATCTGCATCAAAGCGTTTGAACATCATATCAACCAGTTGCTTCCTGGCAGCCATGCGGTCCGTGTGGGCCCCATGGATGTTAGACCCCACGTATCGTTTGTCATGCAAATCCAGAATCTTGGTTTTAAGCCGACGGTAGTCGCTCAGTCTGCAGTTATCGTCTGTGAAGGAAAATAAAGGTAGAAGCAGAATGGTTAGGAGAAGGAGGGAACATTTGTTTTGATTACACAATATTATCATTTAAATGTTATGGAGATGTCTAAAAACAGATATTTCATAAATACTTAAATTATTCCCAGGTGCTGAAAAAGGTGCATGATTAAAAACATTGAACTTATGATTCATAAAATTGGATCCAATGTTTGAAATCTCAGCCAATTAGTACCTGTGAAAACTAGAATCCCCCTGAAGACTCACATTATTAAACAATAAGCTACTGTTTATATTCAGCAAAACCCAAATCTGAGCGTGTCTATGATTGTCTGCATCACAATAACAAATGCTAAGGATTATTTTCCCAAGGGGAGCACACGCAGTGACAGTCATGCAGCATTTCACTGCCTCACACTAAGAAAGCATCAACCCCGTCAACACAAAGAAACTGACGAACAAATCCATCACACAGGTGTCAAGAGCTAACCATGACAGCAACAGAAAACATGATGGTGTTGTATTTACAATCCGCCATCAAAGGCTCTAGATCAAAGAAGTCAACTACATGAAAAGGTTTAGCAGAGTAGAGTCAAGGAAAGAGAAAATAATGACTAGAACTAGCGTTTGACACATGTCATATCAACTTCTCATTGTTAGATCTGGAAGTGTTTCTCCTCTAATAACAGTTATATTAGCTGATGTCAACCAACCCACAAGAAAAACTTTGTTGTTCACTGAGATGCTTTTCAAATCCCCTGGGAGGAAGGTGACATCTCTGCCATATCAAATGGTGTAATCACCTACTTGGGAAAAATATGGAATAATAGCTGCTGCATGGAGTCTTCTGCGAGAAAAATGAACTTTATTGGGGATGATCAGGCGAGAACGATTTAGTCAGTGCAGTAATGAGATCTCCACTCAGTATAACTGGGTGCTGGCTGAGAGCTGATGACTAGTTAAGCGGAATCAGAGCGACCCCAGAAACCAATGACATGTCATTATTAGATGCATGGAATCTCATTCTTGTTTTTAAAATTCTTCCAGCATTTATTCAGCGAAACAACTTGAGCAATCAGCAAGAATTTAAATGAGATGCTTGTTGCAATCTTGACGTTAACCATCATTTGGGTATAAGAGGCTGAGAGACGTTCTTTTAACACTCTGTCAGTAAAATCAAAGGCCTTCCACAGAGGCTATCAAGTCATTTTCATTTCAATTCTGTGTGACCTTGTAAAGCCCCAAGGTGCAAATACTCTATTTTCTGGTATTGAAATATTTAGTATTGTGACTGAGAAAAGTGTGAGATGCAACAGTTATTAGTCTTTTTTGGTTTGTGGATCCAAAGGAAAAACCTGAATAAATGAGTGGAGAAACATGACAAATGCAAATGCTTCCACACAGGGCACGAGAGTTCACTGAATGGTTTGAATGTGAAAATGATGTGAATCATATGCTAAGATTTTGCAGTCACCAGCTCTCAATCCAGTATTACACCTACGGGAAATATTATATAAAAGCTTGTCTTTTCTACCAGCCACTGCAGATAGCAAACCAATGGAGAGTCTACTGAATTATACAATTTGCTTTGGCTGTTGAAACAGGGACAGTGGTTGGTGAATTCTTGGGAATGGTAGCAGCAAGGTTAATTCTTGCCCTGGAAACTGTCTCAGCTGTTTGCTGTTCAGGCTGCAGCATGCTGCATATCATGGGACAGGGTCTGTTTTGACAAGCATCAGTGCCAGAGAAGCTGCCTTGGTCACAAATGGCAGAATGAATAAAAGATAAATGGCTGCTGGCATAACCAGGGGATATGAAGGTCAGCAACGTCAAAGGAGCACTCACTGGCGCATGCCTGTACACAAACACTTGCACACACAGCTGTTACACACACACACACACACACACACACACGCACTTACATACAGTATCCACACCCCAAAGCATTCAAACAGTACATGTCTACACAGGGGAGTGTCAGCATCCATTAGACAATGACTACTATTATTGCTCTTACATTTACTGAGCCGATTTGCCTTAGTGAAAACAGGCCTTTAAGAAACTAGCAACAAAAAAAACAGAAGTTACTTGAAATTTTCAGTCCAATCCATTCAGTCGAATCGAGATCTACCGATTAGGGCTGTCACGATGAAGTCATTCCCCCAGCGGAGATTTGTTGTGGCTCAACAGCGAGGAATGTGGTATTACTGCCATTTTTGCAGCTTTATGGTCTAAGCGAGCAAGCTGCTGGGTGCTAGCTGCTAGTCAAAGTAAACAACATAGCCAAGCAAATTATTTCCTGTAGTTTGAGCGTGTCATTTCCACACAGCTATATCTTTACCTTCAACTGCCCTGTAGCAACGTTATAACTAAAGTTCCCCACAAAGCAACATGAAAACAGTTGCAGGCATCTAACAAACTACATAGGGGTCGGCGATATTACGATATTTGATCGTGAACGCTTAAAACGTCTCCATGATCTGCCTTTTCAGAAAGATCATTACTACTTGTGCTACAATGCACAATCAGTTTTAGTTCTATGGCTCATACACACAGTTGACAGCTGCTCTGTCAACATCGCAAGTCAGCTGCCTCGCTGCCTGGGCCTCATAAAATTAACATTTATGTTCCCCATGTCCCCCACCTGCTCTACCTCAACTATCTGGGATTTACGGAGTTTGCTGATGAACAGAAAGTGTTAGGCCTACTTGTTGCTAAAGTAACCGCTGACCGTGGCTAACTAGCTGCTGTTATATAATTAGCTCAGTTAGCATAGTGGTCATAGCTGAATCAGCCCGGACTGGGAACTCTGTGCACCAGGGGACTGTTTTGTGTTTAACGTTACACTTCTACTCAAGCACTGAAGGTCAGGATAACGTCAGTGAGCGGCGCCCCAGAACCGTAGCCAAGCGAGCAACGACACCGCGCTCAGCAGGCAAGATAAGGTAAGCACTGCATGTGTGTATATGTGAGTGAATGGTGAATGCAGATGTAGTGTAAAAGTGCTTTGAGTCGAAAAGACTAGAAAGGCACTATACAAATACGGAGCATTTACATGCCCATCAATATCTGCAACAAGTCCCTCCCTGTCTTTGTGTTTTTAAATATGCAGAAGCAAACAGCACATTCATGAGAAAATCAAATCAAAAAATGTATATTAATATCTTTAAAATGTTATAAGAACAAAATTAATCAGTTCTTGTTTAAATGAATCATTAGGCTACATTTTATTTGATTAATAAAGTATTTTTTTAAACTAATAACTTGCAAAATAGTCATAAAAAAACAGGAAAATCGTGAATCGTGATCCTGCCTCAAATAAACTGATATGATATTTTTGCCATATTGCCCACCCCTAATACTACGCTCGTTATTTAACGAGCTTCGCGTAAGGGTTAATGTTCACAGTTTCTCTCGACTGTCCCTCAGTATTACAACATTAGTCCAACATCGCTGAGCCTGCTAGCCATGCATTATTCTAATGGCAAGTTAGCTAATCTTAAAAACAAATAGTAAACAACACCACACAGCAACACACAGCCACAGTAACATTCACGGCTTTCAAGTTTAAAGTCAGGTCAGGTCCATCCCATGGTGATACATCCTTGAACCGTTGTGGAATTTCTGAAGCACTAATGTTAATTTGTTAATTTATCACGCACAGTAGTGTAAAACAAAAAAGTATGAACATTGTGGTTGTTGCGGTGCTTGCCATCCTCTGCGGTTAGCTTGGCCAGTAGGATTAGGATTCTCAGTCTTGTAAAACTGAGCCTTGGGTTCTGTAGCAGTCTACACAACCTAAATTGCTTTTGAGCTGTATGGGACACGTTAGAAACGACCTGCCATCTTACTCTATATAACTGGAGTGGTAAGTAATTGACTAGCAAAAACAAATTTAGTGATTTTATCCGTTATGCTTTCTCACGAACTTGGGCCGACCCCTAAATGTTAATGACTTGAATCATATCATATCATTATACACGGAGAAACCAGGGAAACATGATGGCAGGCTACAAACGTTTAGAAAACGCTTCTCTGTGTGCACCTGTGGCTTAGGGATTAAGACACCAACCATAAACTGCAAAAGTCCCCAGATAGAATCATTTTCTACCTAACACACAAGCCACAGCGGTTACCAAAGCAGACCCAAACCAACATAGTAAATTGATCACCAGAGACTCAGTGCTAGTGTCTGTAATAAGCTGGTACCTGACAATAGCTAATATTACTATTTCTAACACTGAAGAACTGATAAAGCAACATTGTCATATACAGCATTGGGCAAATGAAAAATCCTACTCATTCTGCCTTTAAACATGAGTCTGACAGAAAGTGAGAGTTGACATGTAGGCTGCTATGAGATTTTAGTGTGGGGTCGCTGTTCTGCAGATGATGGGCAAAGGCCATAATATGGCATTTATCATAACTTTAGGAGGTGTATTGATTAATAGCATTAGTATTCTTAAAAACATATGTATAAATAATGAAAAGCAGTTAAATGTATAACTTACGCAATGGATGGTTTTGCATGATTGTTATTTCAGCAGTGTAACAGAAAGCAGAACATATAATGGCAGCTGCTCACTTCAAATGTGTTTGTCTCGTATATGTCATCACACCTAATACATTTTATGGCACATGGATTTAGCACACTTGATGGAAAAGTGTGATTTTTGCAGAAAAGCCTGACAAGTGTTTCCTGTATCTGTTTTTTCACACATTGAACACTGTTAACAGTATGACCTTCATACAAACTGCTCTAAAAAGAGCCAAAGTCCTTCTATGTCCAGTTTCATCCTCAAGACAGTTAAACAGGAGGTGGATTTTTATTAAACCATGGACAGTCCCCTTTAATATACTTTGACTAAAGGCAGCTTGATTATCAAATTTTTCTCCAGTGCATTTTTAAATTGTTCCTTTACTTGTCATCTGAAGTCTGCTCATCTATAAAACATACTAATGACAACACAGTCCTTTTCACTACATCCAATTACAAGCCAAGTAAACACCC